CTATTCCAGAACCCTGGCATAAAATTTCCTGTGGAGGATGAGGAGTGTGATCCCCATATAGTTGGAACAGACTGTCTTATCCCCCTTCTGGAAGATTGGAAGCACAACCCAGGTCTGCCAGTCTAGTGGTATGGCCCCTGATCTCCCCACAACATTGTAGAGACGTGTCAACCAAGACAGTCCTACAATATCCATAGCCTTACAGAACTCAAGGCGAACCTCATCCACTCCAGGGGCCCTGCCACCAAGGAGTTGTTTAACTGCTTCAGTGAACTCTCCCCTGGTTAAGCATTAGATGCCCCACTTGTCGCCAGACTCTGCTCCTGCTACAGAAGACATGTCAGTGAGAGAAAGGAGGTCCTGTTTCCTTTTGCCGCCTGACAATATCCTCAGTTGAAATCAGCAGCACTCCACCAGCACTTTACACAGTGTCGGTAAAGAACCCCTTTCCTCTCCTGAGCTGCCTGGTAGTGTTCCAGAATTGCTCCAATGAGATCTGAGTCTTTTTTCATGGCCTCATTAAATTCCTCTCACACACAAGTTTTTACTAGACTCTCCAGAAGACTGGTCCTAGAGCCAAAGACACACCTTCAGGTGAGCCTGACTATATCTAGGCAGTACCTCTCAACCTCCCACACTAGCTGAAACTTCTTCTCCACCAGAAAGGTGACATTCCATGTCTCCATCACCAGCTTTAGTATTGGGCATCAGTCTCCCAGGGTCTCCATCCTTGGTCGCCACTGGCACACACTGTACCCAACCCCTACGGTGCCTCCCATCTCCCTTGTTCAAGCATTGGGGCCATAGTAACCCTTTCTCAGGCCGGGTAAACTGTTCCCTCGATGTTGGACCCATGGAAATGTAAATGAACTCAAGTTATCAAAGTAGAACATACTGTGGTTTTGTTTTTCTGTGTTTTTATCTGATTTTATAAGACAAAAAATTGAAAGTTGGCTTTATTTATCACAAGGTATAAACATAGCTTGGTAAATTTTTTACTGCCTTACCGTGTCACTCAGCTTCAGCAAATGTGTGGAAGTGGCATATGCAGCTGCTGCCCAACTGGACAAAAATAATGGAAGAGTGGTTTTCAGAATCCTCTACTAGCTGCTGTTAATAACGCATGAATAGAAGTGTCTTGTAAAAAGATATTTCATTTAGGAAAAATACATTATAAAAATAACATTTTGTTCTATCAGCACTGGAGATGAGCACATTTCAGGGAACTTTGGCCTGCTGGACCAGGTTGAAGCTCTCAAGTGGATCCAGCAGCACATTCACAACTTTGGAGGAGACCCAGGATTAGTTACCATATTTGGAGAGTCTGCTGGTGGAGTGAGCGTGTCTCTTCTGGTAATCTACAGTCAAAGGAACTTTAAATAAACTTTTTCACTCTAGAACAAAAATTAATATGTGATGTGTTGCTTGAATCATCAGCTCCTGTCACCACTGTCTGATGGGCTGTTTCACCGTGCTATTGCTGAGAGCGGCACAGCTGCAATGAATGTATTTGTTGCAAATAATCCTCTACCAATGGCGCAGGTTAATTATCCATATTCTTCCTTTTTGGAGGGTTAAACATTTTTGTTGCAGAATAATGAGAATATTAAAATGGATTTGTTTTTGAATATTTGCCATTTATATTTGCCATTTCACCTCAGGCAATTGCAAACGCATCTGGCTGCAGTCT